GCTGGAGAAGGATCCAGGGAGAGCTTGGAGCACATTCCAGAGCCTAAAGGGGCTCCAGGAGAGCTGGAGAGGGACTGGGGACAAGGGATGGAGGGACAGGACACAGGGAATGGCTTCCCACTGGGAAGGGGAGGGAGAGATGGGAGACTGGGAAGGAATCCTTCCCTGTGAGGGTGGGGAGGCCCTGGCACAGGTTGCCCACAGAAGCTGTGGCTGCCCCTGGATCCCTGGAAGTGTCCAAGGCCAGGTTGGACGGGGCTTGGAGCAACCTGGGATAGTGGAAAGTGGCCCTTCCCATGGAAGAAGATGATCCTTAGGGTCCCTTCCAGCCCAAACCATTGCCAGGCCATTCCGTGGTGCCCCAGCTGTGGATCCCACAGTCCCAGAGTGGTTTGGATAAGAAGGACCATAAACCCCCTCCAGTGCCCCGGGTGGGGACCCTCCCCCTGCCCGGGTGGGATCAGTATCCAATGGCTCCGTTCCCGGGAACGAGTCCAAGACTGACCCGTGGGCGTTCCGGAATGGGGAGGGACAGCGCAATCCGGGAAGGGCAAACAAACCCAGGGCTGGATTTATGAGCAGGAATTTCCCCAGCTCAGGGTTTGGGTTTGGCCAGGGAGGGCGGTCAGAGTTCACCTTGGAATAGAAACTTCCCGGTGAAAACTCACCAGATTTTCCCTTTTTCATTCCCAAAGTTGCCTCTGAGGATTTTGTGGCTGTTTGGAGCCGGCTCAGGGCTGGCAAAGGTGCTGAAAAATCAGATTTAAATAAATCTATTTTGTGGCTGTTTGTCTTGCTGTTAAACCCTAAGTGGGATCTGTCGGGAAAATGGGAGTAATTGAGGAGTTTTGGAAAGAACTGGGCAGGAATTTGGAGGGAATTTGGGAGGAATTGAATAATTGGAAGGGAATTGGGAAGGAATGGGGAAGAATTTGGAAGGGAATTGAATTCATCAGGAATTTATCTGGAATTTGAAAAAAATCGGAATTTGAGAATATTGGGGGAACTTGGAAGGAATGGGGAAGAATTTGGAGGGAAGCTGGAAGGAATTTGGAAGGAATTGACAAATTTTAAAGGAATTTGGAAGGAATGTGCAACAATTTGGAAGGGGCTGGGAAAGATTTGGAGGGAATTGGGAAGAATTTCATAGAATCACACAGAATTTGGAGGGAATTGGGGAACACTGGGAAAACAGGGAGAGGAAGACCAGGGAAAACTGGGAGAGGTTTCCTGTCCTGGAGAAGATCAGGGAAAATGGACACTGGGAGAGGTTTCACCTCAGTTTAGGAGGTACAGCAAGACCAATCATTCCCTGGAAGAACCTGCCCAGGGACACACTGGAGTCCCCCTCGCTGGAGGATGAACCTGGATGTGGTTCAGGATAATCCCACCCGGGGTCCCTTCTCCAGGGAAGGCTGGACCTGGTGGCACCTGGATCTTTCCGAGGTCACCCCGGGTTGTGCTGCGGGGCTGTGACTGAGACCCTCCCTCCCTGGGGAGTTCCCAGTGCCACCCCCGGGGTGTTTGTCCCCGTGTGATTTATGAGGATGTTCTCCAAGGCCTCCAGCGATCCCGGCTCCGAACCTGCCGCGTGGCACTGGGGGGGTTGGACTGAGGGTCATCCCCGGGACACGGATCCGTGGTGTCCTCCTGGAGCTTCCTGCTGGGCCTGGGACAGAGCGGCCGCTCCCAAGGAGGTGTTTGGTCAAACCCCCCTTGTTTGCCCAGGGGACAGGCCATAAATCAGCCCTGAGCTGGAAAACCCCGGCCGGGGGCAGGGATGTGTCCTCAGAGAGCCAGGGAATTGTGGAGGGTGGAAAAACCCTCTGAGACAGAGCCCAACCTTCCCCCAGCACTGCCAAGGCCACCTCTGACCATGTCCCCAAGTGCCACATCCACAGGGCTTTGAAACCCCTCCAGGGATGGGAACTCCACATCCCTGTGCCAGGGTGGGACAGCCCTTTCCAGGAGGAATTGTCCCAATATCCAGAATAAATCTCCCCTGGCACAGCCTGAGGCCGTTCCCTGTCCTCCTGTCCCTTGTTCCCTGGGAGCAGAGCCCGACCCCCTCTGGCTCCCCCTCCTGTCACCCAGATGGGGCCCAGGGTGGGGGGACACAGCAGTGACCCCTCAGGGTTTAGGGACCTGGAGGTTGAGCTTGTCACGAATCCAGATCTGACTGCACTGGAAAATCCCCTGGAAACACACCTTGATCCTGGCAAAGAACTCCTTGACCTTGGATCTCTGGATCCGGCCGAACTGGGAGGACAAACAGCAGTGTCAGTTTGGGGGGATGAGGAGGGGGGTCTGGGGGAGCCGGGACCTCATCCCGGCCCCTTCTTACCTTGCTGGGAGCCTTCCCGCAGGAGAGCTCCACCGTGGGCTGCTGCTCCTCCAGGAACACGGAGCCCTGGCACCAGGTCAGTGCCTGTGGGGACACCGAGGGGACACGGGACAGCCTGAGCCCCCCGGGCCCCAGTTCCCCCCCGCTGATCCCTCCTTTCCAGGGATGGAGTGTGGTTTCCTCCAGGGTGAAGCTCTGCAGGTCTGGAAGAGGGGCCACATCCCAAAAGCTTTCATCCCGTGCTCTGGGCCATCCATGGCCATGTTGTGTCTCACTGTCACTGTCACCCTGTCCTTGTCCCCCTCCACGGCAGGGGGACCCCAAACCCTGTGGCCTCTTCCCCGCTGACCCACAGATGACCCCACACACCCGTCCCCACTGACCTGTGGGGGCTGGACTGGGCTCCTGGCCAGACTCATCCCACTGGGAATGTCCCAGTGTCGCATCCCATGGGAACGCCCCCGGCAGGTCCCATAAAAGCCCTTCCAGCCCGGTGGGAAGCAGGAGCAGGATGGGGCTGTGCCGGGTGCTTACGCCGCTGCTGCTGCTGCTGGGGCTGGTGGGAGCTTCCACACTGGGGCCCAATGGATCCACGGTGGTGTGGGACAGATCCATCCCAACGTCCTCGCCAGGATCCGGGACCGTGAGCTACGGGGCCGTGGTGGCGGCGGCCGTGGAGCTGCTCAACTCCAGGGCTGTCAGTCCCTACGTGCTGCGGCTGCGGGAGGCCCAGCCCCGGCCTGGATGGGTGGGTGCTCTGCTCCCCCATTCCAGGCACAGCTCCAGGCTCAGGGGATGGATCCAGCTCAGTGCTGGATCCGACCCCTCTTGGGGTGAATCCGCCTCGTTTGGGGTCTGACTCCCATGGGGCTGAGCCAAGTCAGGGCTGAGCTGGACCTATTCCAGGCTGGATGTGGCCCCTCCTGGGGCTGGATCTGGCCCGGTGGGGGCTGGACACTGCGGGTGGGGGGTCCCTGATGGGTCTTGTCCCCTCTCCCAGCCCTCGGACCTGCGGAGCCGCCAGGAGCTGAGCTTCACCCTGGAGGAAACCACGTGCCGGAGCCCGGGAGTGGCCCCCATGGGCTGCAGGAGCCGCTGGCTCGGGGTGAGGAACTGGGGATCCTGCAGGGAACTGGGATCAGCGGGGGGGAACTGGGGCCCGGGGGGCTCAGGCTGTCCCGTGTCCCCTCGGTGTCCCCGCAGGCGCTGACCTGGTGCCAGGGCTCCGTGTTCCTGGAGGAGCAGCAGCCCACGGTGGAGCTCTCCTGTGGGAAGGCTCCCAGCAAGGTAAGAAGGGGCTGGGATGGGGGTCCCGGCTCCCCCAGACCCCCCTCCTCATCCCCCCAAACTCTGATGCTGCTATTTGTCCTCCCAGTTCGGCCGGATCCAGGGATCCAAGGTCAAGGATTTCTTTGCCAGGATCAAAGAGCGTTTCCAGAGGATCTTCCAGTGCAATCGGATCTGGATCCGTGACAAGCTCAACCTCCAGGTCCCCAAACCCTGAGGGGTCACCGCTGTGTCCCCCCACCCTGTGCCCCCATCCGGGTGCTCTTCTGCCAATAAATGTCCCTGCATCGATCCCGGTGTCACCCTGAGGGTCCCTGTGCCGCCCCCTCCCCCTGCACCCCAGTGGGGTCCCCAGAGGGCTCCTGGGACCCCCAAATTCCCCCCATGCCCAGACAAGGGGCTCCGAGGGCTGGGGACACCCTGGGGGTTGGAGGGTCATGAGTGAGGGGTGTCACGAGTCGGGGGCACTCACCAGGGCAGGTTTGGGGTCCCCTCCCACCTCTTCCAGGCTGTGAAGAGGCAGAGACCCCCCTGGAAGCGCTGCCATCTGAGGGACCCCCCTGACACCCCCTCCCCAAATCAAGCTGCTTCCCGGCCCTGCTGTGCAATTTCCTGCCACACAGGGAGTCTGGGACATGAGGGGGGGGTGATGCTGATGGCAGAGGGTCTCAGTTTGGGGGGGAATGGGATCAGCCCCCCCCAAAACGGGCACAGCACTGTCCTGGCCCCACGGGCACCGCTGGCTCTGGGGCCTCCTCCTGGCACAGGACTTGTGCCCCCAGGATTGCCCCCCCCCCGATCCTGGGACACCTTGGGGGTCCCCTGGGAACCTGTCCCAACTGTAGGGTCCCCACAGGGGTCTATGGGGTACAGACCCACGGGGATGTTGGGGGGACAGGAGGGGACATCCCCAGCAGCTGCAGCCACAACCCTGCTCTGGCCACTTTTGGGGCTCAGGGACCCCTGTGCCCCACATTCCTTCACCCCCAATGTCCCCATCCCAAACTGGGTCCATCATGGCATCTGAACCCCCCCACAACCCTTCACTTGCAGCTCCCTGAGGGGTCACAGCCCCAGTGTCCCCCTGTGTCCCCCTGCATCCCCCTCACCTCCCTTTGCCATCACCACTGGTTTTGGGGGGGACAAGATGCCGTGGGGGTGATGATCCCATGGAGACAACGACGCCGTGGGAATGATGCAGGGTGGGATATGAATGTTCCCTTTTTTGGGGGCGTGCCCAGAGTGAGCCCATCCCTGACCCCACATTCCCTGGGGACCGAGCCCTCGGGACCCCTCAGGACGGTGTGGGGGAGCAGCCCCCTGTGCCACCCTTTCCCACGTGACAGAGGCAGGAGGATCCCGGTGCCCAGACGGCCTCTCCCGGCCCTTTATTGCTCAGCCCAAGCCCACGGAGCCCCTGATGCCGATGTTGAACTTGATCCGGGGTCGGAAGCGCCGGACCCTGCCCAGGAAGCGCCCGAAGCGGCCGCGCTGGATCAGATCCGGCTGCGGGGGGGACACAGAGGGGTCAGGGGGAGGGGGGTGTGGGACCCCTACTTGGGAACACACCCGGGACCCCACACCTGGGACCCCACACCTGGGATCCCACCCAGGACCCCATGCCCAGGATCCAACACTTGGGACCCCACACCCAGCACCCACCAGGTCACGGCACCCAGGACCCCACCCAGGACCCCACATCAAGGACCCCACATCAAGGACCCCACACCCAGGTCCTTGCACCCCACTCGTGCCCCCCCTCAGGGACTCCACAACCCCACACCTGAAATGCCACCAATGTCCCTGCACCCAGAAACTCACCCCTGGGACACCTGGGACCCCATATGCAGAATCCAACACTTGGGGTCCCCACTCAGGATCCCACACCCGGGATCCAACACTTGAGACCCACATCCCAGACTCTGCACTCAGGTCACTGCAGCCAGGACCCCACCCAGGACCCACATCAAGGACCCACATCCAGGATCCCACCCCAGATCCCACATCCAGGACCCCCTCCTGGGATCTAACCCCTGGAACACCCCACCCAGAACCTGCTGGTTCCCCAGGACCCCCACCCCACCCTTCACTACCATCATGGGGTCCCTTTTGGGGGGGTGTGGGGCAGGGGGACAGGCACCAGCACCCCCAGGGGTGCCCCCACCCACGGGTGCCCCCTGATCCCCCCACTCACGTCGGAGGAGACGTCGAAGCAGCGCAGGTCGAACTCGGGGGAGCTCTGCAGGAGCTGCACCGGCCCCGAGCACTCCTTGATGGCCTGGGGGGGACACGGGGACACCCGGAGTCACCGGGGGGGGGTGTTACTGGGCCCCCCCGTGTCCCCCCTTCCTCCCCCTGCCCCTCCTCACCCCGTTCTCCTTGAAGTCGCAGTCGTTGGGGTCGGGGCGGGCGCTGGCGGCACAGTCCGTCTCCATCATGGTGAAGTTGAGCCCCCGCAGCGAGCTCAGCTCCACGCCCTGGGGGGCACGAGTGGGGGGGGGACACGAGTGGGGGGGTCATGAGAGAGGGGGCCACGACTGGGAGGGGTCACGAGCGGAGGGAGGTCACGAGTGGGGCGGCAATGCCAGGGCAGGGGATCGGGGTCGGTGCTGGGCAGGGGGAGTGGGAGGTCACGAGTGGGGGAGTCTCGAGTGGGGGTTGTCAGTCACCAGGGTGGGCCTGGGGTTGGTGCTGTGCAGCCTGATTGGGGTGGCACGAGGGGGGGAGGGTGAACGGGGGAGGGGGGGAGGGGGGGGGGAGGGGGGGGTCGATAAGGGGGGGGTGTCACGAGTGGGGTGACACTCCCTGGGTGGGCTCAGGGGTTGGTGCTGAGCAGCTCAGGTAGGGTTCAGAGATCATCAATGGGGGGTCACGAGTGGGGTGTGGGGGGGTCACAAATGCGGGGTCACGAGTTGAGGTGTCAGTTTTTTGGGGGACTCACTGGGGTGGGCTCAGGGTCGGTGCCCAGTCAGGGGCCACGGGTGGGGCATCAGGGATGGGGAGAGGGTCGGGGAGGGGTGTGGGGGGTCTCGAGTGGGGGGCACTCACAGGAGTGGGTTTGAGGTTGGCACGGAGCAGCCCGAGTCAGGTACCTCGAGTGGAGGTGTCACAAATGGGGGGTCACGGGGTGGGGGGGACTCACCAGGACGGGCTTGGGATCAGCGCTGAGCAGCCCCAGTCAGGTAACAGGAGTGTGGGGGGATCACGAACAGGGGGGTCACGGGTGACGGGTGGGGGGATTCCCGACTGGGGGGCACTCACCGGGGCGGGCTCGGGGTCGGCGCTGAGCAGCCTGAAGGCGTTCTGCACCTCAGGCCGCTGGTTGTAGGAGTCCACGGCTTGAGCCAGCGCCTGGGTGTAGGCGAGGGGGGCCGGGGCGGGGAGGGCACGGGCCCCCCCCAGCACCACCAGCAGCACCAGCGCCCACGGGCTCGGCATCTCTGTCCCCCACGGCCACCCCGGCGCCACTTTTATCCCCCCCGGGAGGTCGGGGACCCGCCCCGGGGCTTGGTTCTCCCCCACCCCGCTCCGGAAACACCTGGCCCCAAACCCACAGGGCGGCCGTTGTTTTTGGGGACACGGGTGGGGGGGACACAGAGCCCCAGGTGTCCCAGTGGATGGGCCGTGACATCGCCCCCCTCGGGGACTCCCAGGGTGTCCCCATCCCTTGGAGCCCTTTGGCTGGCCATGGGGGGGGCGGGGGGCCCGGAGCCCTGTGGGAGGGGCGCAGGGGCCGCGGTGCCGGGTTGGTGCCCCCCGGGCTTGCACAACCCCAAACTTGCCCCATGGCTGTTTCCCAACGCCGGGGGTGCCCCCCCAAACCGTGTCAGCCCCACACACACAAACGTCTGACCCCGAAATCTCTTTATTCCAGCTCCGTTGGGGCCGGGGGGCGGCGGGATGACCCCCGGGGGGACGCGCTGGGGGGGCGAGGCCGCGGGGGGGGCCGCGAGGAGGAGGAGGAGGAGGATGATGAGGAGGAGTGACCTGGGTTGGTGCCGAAGGTTTTTGGGGTGCCAGGGGAGCGGGGTTGGGCGCTGCCACCGGGCTGCTGTGGGGAGAATTAAGGTGGGCTTCACTCCAGAGCCCAAAAACATGACCCCAAAGTGGGGGACACACGCGTGTTCCCCCCAGGATGGGGGTCCCGGAGCCCTCACCGGCTCCTCGCCACATTCCACCATCGACAGCGGCACGTCGGGCAGGAAGGTGAACACGGACACCTGGGCCGAGCACCGCTGCACCTGGGGACAAGGGACCCTCAGCACCTCGGGGACCCTCCTGTCCCCCCCCCCCGGGCTCGGGGACCCCCGTCCCAGCTCACCCTGCCCGGGCGGCCCCGGCAGCTGCGGGGGTCCGGGGCGGGTTTGGGGCAGGGCGGCTGCCGGGCCGTGAAGTTGATGCTGAAGTGGGTTCCCCAATCGAAGCTCTGTCGGGAGAAAAGATCCATCGGGATCCCCACGGGATCCCCACGGGATGGGGGGCTGGGGGCACCCACCCGCACCCCCCCCCCCCCCGCCCGATTCCTACCGTCCTGGTGACTCCCAGCAGCTTGAGCAGCCGCAGGTCCTGCCCGTGGGTCTCCAGCACGGAGCGGGCCAGGTCGCGGGGGGCCGGCATTCCCGGCGGGATCGCGGCGCCCGCCGCCAGCAGCACCGCTCCCAACAGCAGCGCCATGAGAGCGGGAGAGCTGGGAATTCTCTGCCGGCCCGGGATCGGCCCTCGGCTCGGGGCCCCCCGGCTCCGGCTCCAGGGTAAACACGGGCCCCCCGTTCCGCGGGAAGGGCTCGGGTTGCCGCTGTTGTCCTTGGCCCGGAGCCGGGAGGAGCTCGCCCGGACCTGGAGGGGATGCGGCGATGCCGGAGCTCGGCAGGGCCGATCCCCCTCCATGGCCCCTTCTTCCCTGGGCCTGCTCCCAGTTCTTGGCATGATGGAACAACTCCTGTCTTGCTCCTCCCGAACTGGGAGTGAGAGCATCCTCCCAGCTGCCAGGGAATAGAACCTGGAGCCCCCTTTCCTTTCCTGCTTTCTTTACGTTATTTTGGGGTTTTTTAAATCCCTCTCACCCTGCTCAGATTCATCCAAACACCCCATCCCCAGGTTCTCCTTGGATTCAAGAACCCTGGATTTACCAAGGACTGCACTGGGTGAATCCCGCTCTCCCAGTTTGCATTCCCTGGGTGACTGGGGCTCATTTCCCTAAAATTCAGTATCTTCCTGTCCCCTTTGGGGCCAGGAGCTCCCCTTTCTCTTTGCTTCATCCACAACTGAAAAGCAAATTAATCCCTGGGGAAGGAATCCCAGGGAGAGTGGCTGGGGAACACCAGAATCCCCCGGGATCACCGGGATCACCGTGCCTGGGAGCAGCACCCTGGAATCCTCCGGGACATGGACAGCCCGGAGCTGCTGCTCTTCCAAGGGTATTTGATCCGGTATTCCCATTCTTATGGACACAAATCCCGGGTGGGAGATGTGGGAGGGAGAAGGGATGATGGAACACCAGGAGAGCAGCTCATCAGAGCCTCCTCTGCACATGGAGAACATCGGGATGAGTCCTGGAGAAGGTGCCATGAGCAACAACTGTGTTCTGATCCCAACGTTCCTGGGTGGGTTTTTCCCTTTCTAAAGCATGAGCAGCATGGAAAGCCCAAAGGAATTCCCACTCCCAGGGAGCCAGCAGTGGACAGCAGATGGAAGCAATGGATCTGTACTGATAGATCACATTTATAGCCAGATATGCTCATTATAGACCCCAAAATATACACAGTACCCCAATATAGACATGACATGTACACCCAGAGCGATCCCGAGGGACGCTGGGAGTCAGGAATGAGCAGGGGCAGGGGGTTGGGGTGGACATCCCGCTCCGAGCCCCCCCGGAACGCTGGGATGGGGCAGGACAAGGGGGGAGAGCCCCATCCCTTGGCTGCTGGGATTAGTGTCACATTCCTGCCCGGAGGAGGTATGGCTGTGCCGAGGGCTGGCACGGGAAGAGCCGGGCACGGAGCGCTCCGGAGGGACGGCGGATCACGGTCATGCAGGAGAAGGGCTGATGCAGGGAAGCTGCTGACGGGCAGCTCTTTGGCTCTGCCAGCATTCCAAAGTTTCCTGGCACAAAACCCACCGCAGAAAAGACCTTTCCCAGCGGAGCATGACAAATTCGTGACGTTTCTTTCTTGTCTCTCCTAAAAAAAAATCCTGGCTGTTCCTCTCCAGCTGCCTCTTGGTCTTGGAAAACATCTCAATATTCAATTTAAAGGACATCTTGATCACGTATTTCCCATTTTGAAACCCTCAGGCTGTTGGAGTCGTTCACATCCATCCCTCTCCAAAACGATCCGCTGGTTTAACCGACCTGTTCCTCTTCCTGGTTTCCCCATCCTGTGGCTCCTGTGGAGAAGTTTTCCACATCGAGCTGAGGAAAGCACGAGGAGCTGGGAGGGTCTTGTGTAAGAGGCACCTGGAACCGACAGCGCTGGGTTTGTTCTGTTCTGAGATCCCCCCCGTGTGACCACGACGCCCCTCGGGGGGTTCAGGTGGGTTTGGTGCTCCCAGAAGGTGCAGATGGATTTTCCAAAGTCATTAAAGTGGCTGTTTTTACGTCAGAATTAAGCCTGTCTCCCTCTCCCCCAGCCCATGGCAGTGCTTCCCAAAGGGAAATGGACAGCGAGAGACGGATCCGCTTGGCCACTGCTCCGGGAGGGGCTGAGGGGTCCTTCACCACACGTCAACTCACCACATCTGATCTTCCTGGACCTTCACCCCAAAAACCTCCCCGTGGGCATCGTTCCATCGAGTCTTTCTGCGCTCGCACCGAGCGCCTGGAAATCCCGGCACGCTCCGAACCTCTCGCTGAAGACCAACACCCCCCCCCTCCCCTCCCAAAGTCCCCCCGGAACCTTCCGGAGCTCAGATGGTGAGGAGGGGGACGCAGCCCACGCCCACCCCGCCCTCGTGGCACACCATGGGCGCCATGAACGTCCAGCGGTTGCTCTCGGGGTCGTACATCTCCACGGAGCTGAGGTTGGACTGTCCGTCGTAGCCGCCCACGGCGTAGAGGCGGCCGCAGTTGGGCACGAGGGACACGCGGCTGCGCCGGCTGTTCATGGGCACCAGCAGGTACCACTGGTCGGCCCCGGAGTTGTACACCTCGGCCGCGCTCAGGAAGGCCGAGCCGTCGTAGCCGCCGCACACGAACATGCGGCTGCCGAGCGCGGCCGCGCCGTGGCGGCACCGCTTGTTGAGCATGTTGGACACGGCGTGCCAGGACGAGGTGTGCGGGTTGTAGTACTCCACCTGCGGGCAGGGAGGGCACGGAGCGTCAGGGAGAGCGGCTTGGGAAACGCCACGGGGGAATATCCTCCCACCCCGGGGAATATCCTCCCACGCTGCTGAGGCACCACTGCCAATCCTCCGGGAGTTTTGGGGGTCTCGTGATAAGAGACTGAGGGGTTGGAGCGTGTCCAGGAGAGGGGAACGGAGCTGGGGAAGGGGCTGGAGCAGCAGGAGAGGCTGAGGGAAGTGGGGGGGCTCAGCCTGGAGAAAAGGAGGCTCAGTGGGGTCCTTCTGGCTCTGGAATTCCCTGACAGGAATGGGGAGCCGGGGGGGGGGTCGGGCTCTGCTCCCAGGGAACAAGGGACAGGAGGAGAGAGAACGGCCTCAGGCTGTGCCAGGGGAGGTTTAGGTTGGATGTCGGGAAAAGTACTTCCTGGAAAAGGCTGTCCAGCCCTGGCATAGTGGTGGAGTCCCCAACCCTGGAGGGATTTCAAAGCCCTGTGGATGTGGCACTTGGGGACATGGGTCAGGGGTGGCCTTGGCAGTACCCGGGAATGGTTGGACTGGACAGTCCAAGAGGACTTTTCCAACCTCAAGCTGAGGAGTTCCCAGGATCCCAGCCTTACACTGTTGAAGATCTGCAGCCCGTCGTGCCCTCCCGACACGTAGATCCGGCCCTCGAAGACGGTGACTCCGGCGGCGCTGCGGTTGGAGCTCATGGGGGTCACTGCTGTCCACCTTGGAGGGACAGGGCAGAGGTCAGGGACAGCCCCAGAGACTATTCCACGATTTTCTAGGACTGGCTTCCACCAACTCTCCTTTCACCATCCCTTATTTAAACCACTCTCACAGCCCAGATGCCCTGTGGTGCCCACGGCACACAGGCACAGAACTCATGGGAAAGCTGTAGGATGTGGAAGGCTCTCACTTGTTTGTCTCTGGAGAGTAGGACTCCACGGAGTTGAGGGATGAGTTCCCATCGTATCCACCGCACACGTAGATCTGCCCATCCAGCACCACCGTTCCCATGGCGCTGCAAGGAACGGCAGGACCCCGTGAGAAGGCTGGAGGTGCTGCCACACTGACCCCAACACAGCCTGCCTGGCCCCTGTGCCATCTCCTCTGTCATCCCAAAGAACCTCCTTTTCCCTGGATTCACTTCCAAATGGCTCAGTCCCACCTAAGCCTGGAGTCTCACAGGTTGTGAGCACTGCTGTGAGCACCTCAAATCCAGGGGGCAGTTCTGGGTCCCTCATGACAAAAAGGACATGGAGGGGCTGGAGCATGTGTAGGGAAGGGAATGGAGCTGGGGAAGGGGTTGGAGCAGCAGGAGCAGCTGAGGGAGCTGGGTGGGCTCAGCCTGGAGCAAAGGAGGCTCAGGGGGGACCTTCTGGTTCGCTGTAATTCCCAGGAAGGAGGTTGGAGTCAGGGGGGGTAAGTTGGACTCTGTTCCCAGGGAACAAGGGACAGGAGGAGAGGAAACGGCCTCAAGTTGTGCCAGGGGAGGGTCACGTTGGATACCGGGACAATTTCTTCCTGGAAAGGGCTGCCCAGCCCTGGCACAGCTGCCCAGGGCAGGGGTGGAGTCCCCATCCCTGGAGGGATTTCAAAGCCCTGAGGATGTGGCACTTGGGTCTTAACACCTTTCCTTCTCCATCACTGCCGTGACATACCCACGGAATTTTGTTGAGCTGCTTCTCACCAACAAGCAGCACCCAAAATCAGCATGAGCATCCCAAAACCAGCCAAGCAAATCCCACCTGCTTCCACGCTGCTCCACTCCCTCCTTTCCCACACACAAACTCTTTGCCAGTGGCCACCACCCCCAGCACTCCAGCCTCGTTTTTCCCCATTTTTCCGAAGGTCCCTCCCCAGGGAGCTGCACGTACCTCCTCTTGCTGTTCATACTTTCCACTTTGGACCAGGAATCCGTCTCTGGATTGTAGACCTCCACGGTGCTGAGCCTGAGCTGGCCGTCGTAGCCGCCGATGGCGTAGAGGAGCCCGTTGACCACGGCGACCCCGACGCGGCTCCGCGCCGTCGTCATGGGCTGGCACTTCTCCCACCGGTTGGCAATGGGATCAAACACCTCCACCACGTTCAGGGAGTCGCCTGCGTAAAAATTTGCTACTCAAATTAAAAGAGGGAGAGCTGGTGAAGCCCTGGGAACCCGAGGGAACCCCTGGTTTTCTTTGGGAAAACATCTGGGCTCTGCTAGGATGGGATGGTATCCAGAGGGACCTGCTCTAGTGGAAGGTGTCCCTGCCCATGCCATGGGGTGGGACTGCATGATCCTTAAGGTCCCTTCCAACCCAAACCATTCTGGGATTCTGTGCCCTGTCCTGGGCCCTCACATCCTATTCCAGCCTATCTGCTCCCACAGAGCCAAGGCAGAGGCATTTCCCAGTCACTTCCCAGCTCTCCCCCAGAGATGCTGCTCTGAACAATTCCCACAAAACACACTCCAGTACTCCAAAAGATCGTGGAACACTTCCCAGCTTTCCTGTGTTCTGCACCAGGAACCTTGACGTGTCCCAGGCTGTGGAAGTGGCACCTCCAGTGCCCTCCAAGGGGCAGCAGAGACCTGCAGTCCCATCTGTGCTGTCGCTGCTTCACGTGTCCCTGAACACTTTCTGTTCCCTTTTTACACCATGGTCTGGCCCCTGTGAATATGTGGTGACTGCACATGTGATCCCACAATCCCAACAACATCCCAGAGACACCCCCAGGTCCTCCTCGGAGTTCCAGGCAAGGACACACCAAGAATACGTCCTAAATAAACCTCACCAGGACAGGATGTGAGTTGGAAGACGTTAAACTACAGGCACACCTTGGGCGTTCCGTTGGAAGGGCCGGGAGGAGGAACCGCTCAACGCTCCAACCTGAGGGAATTTCCCCATCCCGTGTGGTCCTTCCCAGCTCCCCGTGGCCTTTCCACTGCAAGGTACCTGCCGAGTTCAGCCCTCCCACGGCGTAGATCAGCCCTGCTATGGACGTGCAGCACCGGGGGCGCGTCTTGAACGCCGGGAGGTGCGGCCGGCGCTCCGGCATGAGGTGGTAATCCTTGGCTTCGTCCACCAGATCCCTGGAATCCAGTGAGTCAGGAGTTAAAGAGGAGCTCTGACTGCCTGGAGGCAGAGGCAGATTTAAGCCTCTGTGACCCCATGCCCCAGGCTCACCTGCATTTGTGGCAGCAGCGCACCAGGTCGTCCTGCTGGACGCGGTCCGTGAGGAATTGCGGCCGGCACAGCGGGAGGCGGATCTTGGAGAGGAGCTCGGGCAGGAAGGACTCCCTCTGGTCTCGGTCGTACCGGATCCAGGCTAAGGCAGCTTCAAACACCTTGGGAGAGAGGGGTGGGAAGTTGGGAGTTTTGGGTCTTGCTGCTGGAGCCACTTGATTGATGGAAAAAGAAATGGCATGGAATTGTAGGATCCCAGAGTGGTTTGGGATGGAAGGGACCTTAAGGATCACCCAGTGCCACCCCCTGCCATGGGCAGGGACACCTTCCACTAGCCCAGGTTGCTCCAAGCCCCACCTAACCTGTCCTTGGACTCTTCCAGGGATCCAGGGGCAGCCACAGGTCCTCTGGGAAATCCATTCCAGTCCCTCCCCACCCTCACAGTCAACAATTCCTTCCCAATATCCCATCTATCCCTGACCTCTGGCACTGGGAAGCCATTCCCCTTTGTCCTGTCCCTCCATCCCTTGTCCCCAGTCCCTCTCCAGCTCTCCTGGAGCCCCTTTAGGCCCTGCAAGGGGCTCTCAGCTCTCCCTGAAGCCTTCTCCAGGTGAACACCCCCAGCATTCCCAGTCTGGTTCCATAGAGGTTTTTTCTCCGCCTCTGACTTATCCTGCAACAATCCTGGGGGATTGTACATTTAACACAAGTGTTTGCAGGGAGCTGAAGGAGCTGTGAAGAGAATTTTGGCAGAGGAGGTGGGACAGAAGCAAAATCCTGTTTATTTACTGAGAAAAACCAGCAAACTGGGAAAGGAGAAAGAGAATGCTGCTGCTCCATGAAAAACCAGGAGACAGGTTCGATGACAGGGATCCATCTGTTCACTTTTCCTCCATTCTCCCCCTTTTCCCTCATTTTTTTTTTCCCTATTTTTTTCTTTTTGACCCAATTTTTTCATCACTTCCCCATTTTTCCACCTTTTTTTGCTCTTCATTGACTTTCTTTCCTTAATTCTTCCCAGTTTTCCTTATTTTTCTTAAATTTTTCCACTTTTCCACTTTTCCCTTTATTTTCTATTTTCCCCCTTATTTTCAACTTTTTTTCTGTTTGCTTTCCCCTAGTTTTCTCCCCTTATCCTTCATTTTCTCTGTTTTTCCCAATTTGGTTTCTTTTTTTGCCCAATCTTTTCCTTTTCTTCCCTTTATTCCCGTTTTTTCTGCTTTGTTCCCGTTTTTCCCCATTTTTCTCGCTTGCCTGTTCCCCCCCCCTTCTTCCCACTTTTCCTTCTGTTCTCCCTCTTTCTTTTTATTTTCCCACCGTTTGCTTTTCCCACATTGCCTTTCCTTGATATTTTTTTGTTCGTTTTTCCATTTTGTCAGTTCTGTTCCCGTTTTTCTGCCTTTTTTTCATTTTTCCCTCTTTTTTTCCCTCATTCTTCCCTTTTTTTTCCCCCTTCACTTCCACCATAGCTCTGTTTACCACCTCTTATTTTTCCCCACTGTCTTCTCATCTTCATTCAGACCAGGAATAGGATCATTCCCATTCCCAAGCCAAACCCTGCTCCAGGGACACACCTGCTCTTCAGACTTCACGTTGAGCTCATCCCTGGAAACGAGCTCCAGGACGTCCTCGAAGGGCAGGGCCAGGAACTCCTCGGACATGGAGACCTCCACGAAGTGCTGGTGGATGAAGCTGTTGGCAGCGTCGTAGAGCACCGCGCACATCATGGTCTCCGCGAACTGCCGCACCCCCAGGCAGTTCTTGGGATGGAGCCTGGGAAAAGCAGGGACAGGGGGGCAAGAGGAATGTCAGTTTAGCGGAAGAGAAGCTGTGGCTGCCCCATTCCTGGAAGTGTTCCAGGCTGGATGAGGCTTGGAGCAAGCTGGGCTAGTGGAAGGTGTCCCTGCCCGTGGCAGGGGGTGGCACTGGATGATCCTTAAGGTCCTTTCCAAGGCAAACCATTCCATGACTCCATGAAGCAAGACAAGCAGGTTCCAGCTCCCTGAACTGACCCACACGGAGATCTCCAGGTGAATCCACGGCAGAGCCAGAGGATGGGAAACACAACTTACAAATGTTCCCTCAGCCCTGCCAAGGAGGCACTGGACAGACCCAGGTGGTTCTGGGGCAGCCACAGCTTCTCTGGCAAATCCATTCCAGTCCCTCCCCACACTCACAGCCAACAATTCCTGCCCACTATCCCACCTAACCCTGCCCTCTGGCAGTGGGAAGCCATTCCCTGTGTCCTGTCCCTCCATCCCTTGTCCCCAGTCCCTCTCCAGCTCTCCTGGAGCCCCTTTAGGCCCTGCAAGGGGCTCTCAGCTCTCCCTGGATCCTTCTCTTCTCCAGGGGAACCCCCCCAGCTCTCCCAGCCTGGCTCCAGAGCAGAGGGGCTCCAGCCCTGGCAGCATCTCCGGGGCCTCCTCTGGACTCTCTCCAGCAGCTCCACGTCCTCCTGCTGTTGGGAGGGACTCTCACGTGAGGATGACTCCAAGGGCTCCCACAGATCTTGGTTACAACACAGCTGCCCAAAAATGTCCCAAATCTCAATTCCACTTTAGGTGGAGAGCTCGGTGTCCATGTCCCAGCTCTCTGGGGTGGGGAGAATCCTCTAGTTTTCCTGTTACTACCCAAATTCACAGCTGGGCACTCAAATCCAGGAGCTCACTTAGGACACCTGGCTGCTCCTGGGAGAATTTTGGTGGCCAGTCCCTGTATTTGGTGGGTGTATTTAATGTCACTCCATAGAATACACTGAGCAGCTGCAGGGAAGCCAAGCTGGGGAAACTAAACCCGTCAGACTCCCTGGCACGGGTGGAGAATCCATGTGGTGCATTCCCAAAGAATATCCCAGCTTTCCATTTCCAGATCATGCTGCTGGAACAGTCTCACAGCCAAACACCAGTGGAGAAGTCAAAAAACCTGGGAGCAATTTAAGGCTCTGCCACAGTTTCCTGTGCAGCTCCTGGGCTGAGACACTTTGTTCCCTCCCTTGAACACTGACAGCAGCAGGAAGGGCAATTCCTGCCTGGATGGGTTCTTAGAAAGGGAATGATTCCCTCCATTTTGCTCGGGATATCAATTCCTTTGGCTGGCCAAGGTCTTTTATTGTGTCCCAGCACCTCACAAGCCTGATAAGTTATTTTATAGGGAATGAGAATGACAGGAAAAGGGGGAATGGCTTTAAGCTGAAAGAGGATAAATTTAGATGGGATGTTGGGAAGGAATTCCTGGCTGGGAGGGTGGGGAGGGACAGGCACAGGTTGCCCAGAGAAGCTGTGGCTGCCCCTGGATCCCTGGAAGTGTCCAAGGCCAGGTTGGAGCAACCTGGGCCAGTGGAAGGTGTCCCTGCCCATGGCAGGGGGTGGAACTGGATGAGCTTTAAGGTCCCTCCCAACCCAATTTGTGATTCTATAATTCCACAAATGACAAATTTTGGGATCCAAACACCTCCTCATCCCACTGGCAGGGGACATCCTGGCCCTCCCACGCCCAACACAGGTGACTAAAGCCTTGCTGCTGTTGGGGAGCAGCCAAACCCCTCCCAGGAGACCCCCATCCTTACCTTTCCCTAAGGAATGTACAACAGGCATCCTTGATGTTCTGGAGCTGCAGGAAACTGGCCCCCATGAGCAGGGACTGCACGTTCTGCTGGTCGATGGCCAGGTGCCCGTTGTAGGCGAAGTTGATCAGAGCTTCCAGAGCACTGAAAACAGGGAGAAAGGGCGGGAATGCCACTGGAGCAGGTCCAGGGAAGAGCAACAAGGCTGGGGAAGGGACTGGAGCACAATTCCCATGAGGAGAGGCTGAGGGAGCTGGGGCTGTTCAGCCTGGAGAAGAGGAGGCTCAGGGGAGACCTCCTCACTCTCTGCAACTCCCTGACAGGAGGGGGAAGCCCGGGGGGGGGGTTGGTCTCTTTTCCCAGGCAACCATCAGCAAGACAAGAGGGCTCGGGCTTCAGCTGTGCCAGGGGAGGTTTAGGTTGGATATTGGGAAGAATTTCTTTGCAGAGAGGGTGCTCAGCCATTGGAATGGGCTGCCCAGGGAGGGGGTGGATTCTCCATCCCTGGAGGTTTCTAAAAAGAGACTGGATGTGGCATCAGTGCCATGGGCTGGGAACCACAGCGGGGTTGGATCAAGGGTTGGACTGGATGATCTCGGAGGTCCCTTCCAACCCAGCTGATTCTATGATTGTATGGATTCCAGCTGGGATGGGGCTCTACCCACAGCACAGGGTTTGCTGGGATCACCCGTGGGTGTCCCTGGGATGTCACCTGGGGTCCATGCCCTGCATGACGATCTCCTCCTGCTTGCACTCCATCATGTCGTTGGTGAACATGGCGTGGAAGTACGGGATGGACGCCGCCAGCACGATCCGGTGGGCGCTGAACTTGTGGTCCCCCACCTGGAACAGGGAAAAGGGGCAGGAGCAGGGATCAGCAGGGATCGGCCCACTGCCGACATTCCCAGCGGCACAGCTCCACGGGATCCAAGGATTCCAGGCAGGTCTTTGCTCCCATTAGTTCTCTCTGTTGGTTCAGCGCCTTTTTCCCTAATTTCCATGATAATCTGACTCATCCCACCCCATGGCCATCGGAGATTTTTTCCCCTTACTTAAGCAAAATGTTCCCATTTGAGCTTTGTTTTATGGGACAAACCAGCTGGCACAGCAGGTTCTCTGCATTCCAGGTTCTCCAAGGATTCCTTCTCCTCTACAAAACCCTCTTCACTCCCCTTTCATCTCCAAATGCTGTTTGGATTGAGGATTTCCATGATTCCCAACAGTGCCTTCCCTCTCCCTCTGGGCCTCTGGTTTGCACACCCAGCAAACACAAACTTCCTGGGAGTTTACAAAGCAAAATTCCTGCCAGATGGAAAAAAAAAAAAGAGGCCCTTTTTTGAGAGCCTTGTCTTTGCCCTGGGCAGCCCTGAATCCCTGTCCCAGCTTCCTCTGTGCCTGGAATACGCTGCACCAATCCTGCTGTCCTGGATTCTGCAGAATTCCTAATTCCCAGAGCAAAATCAGAAGTGAAATGGTAGGGACTGTTAGAGCTCATGGAAAAAACCCCTCACAGGTACTTGTGTGTGACTTTGCAGGGATAAAGGTGTGGATCAATCCCTTCCCCTAATCCAAAACCACGCGGAAAACATCCCGGAGTCTCCAAGAACTGAGAGCTGGGCCCCAAATAGGTGCAAAATCACCATCAGCTTCCCTGTGTGCACACAGTGGGATGGGGAATGTCTGGGAAAAGGAGTCAGGAGTGCTTGGACAGGCAAAGGAGCCCGTGGTCCATGAGGGGATGGAGTTCAGGGTCACGATCCCTGGCTCTGGTTAGGAAGGAATGTTGGTTGGAGCAGATTCCCCACCCTGACCCCGGCCTGGCCAGAGCTCCAAAAATACTAAAATACCCCAAATTTAATGAGAAAGGCCCAGAAAAGAAGCAATTCCAGAAGCTGAGCATTCCTGGGAGCTGCCAGAACCTCCCTGTGCCCATGGGATTTTCATTCCCTCCCTCACTCCCAGGTGAGCACACCTGGGAATTCCGCTCCTGGTCACCTCTCCATGTCCCGGCGCTGCTCAAGGTAAAGAAGGACACTCAGGTGCTGGAGGGGGTTTTTTTTGGGAATTCTCAGTGGGGGAAGGTTTCCATGGGACCAGGCCCAGCCTGGCTGACCACGGTGACAAACTGGGCCCGTCCACATTCCACAATCCACATTCCATCCCCCAGGAACACCCGACCTGCTCCGCCAGCTCCGGCACTTCCCGCTCCATTCCCTCCCCAGGGATGAAGCCATTCCAGCAGCAGCTGCTCCCGGCCCAGCCCACTGATGGGAAGAATAAACAGTGGGAAAAACTGGCAACACCATCAAAATAGGTCTTATTAATACACCTTCATCCTGCTGGGAAAGCCCTTCCCAGGTGTCTCGAACATCCCAAAACGCAGAAAAACTCTGTTTTTTTCTTGGATATTCCTGAAAGGTGAAGGGAAAAGGTCTCTAATCTCTAAAATTCCAAAAGATATCCCAGTGCCTGGAAGGAATTCGCTCCAACTGGTTTGTTTGGATGAGTGTTCCCATCCAGAGTGTGCAAGAAAAACAACATTTTCCTTGACTTTCATTTCAACTCCGAGCACAAGTTGCCAAAAATTCCATCTGTTCCAACCCCATTTTATCTTTTTAATGAATAAAAATGGTGTTAAAATTAAACAGGCACCTCTTAAAGTGAAACACCTGCTTCAAATGCATCCAGTGACCCTTGAGATATATCCAGAATTATCCCAGGGGGCAGTTCTGGGGACTCCAGCACAGGACACTGAGGGGCTGGAGCGTGTGCAGGGAAGGGAAGGGAGCTGGGAAGGGGCTGGAGCAGCAGGAGCAGCTGAGGGAGCTGGGGGGGCTCAGCCTGGAGAAAAGGAGGCTCAGTGGGGTCCTTCTGGCTCTGCAACTCCCTGACAAGAGGGGGGAGCTGGGGGGAGGTCGGGCTCTGCTCCCAGGGAACAAGGGACAGGAGGAGAGGGAACAGCCTCAGGCTGTGCCAGGGGAGGGTCAGGCTGGATATTGGGAAAATAATTTCATGGAAAGGGTTGGAACACATTGGCACAGCTGCCCAGGGCAGGGGTGGAGTCCTCACCCCTGGAGGGATTTCAAAGCCCTGTGGATGTGGCACTTGGGGACATGGGCAGTGGTGGCCTTGGCAGTGCTGGGGATGGTTGGACTTGCTGATCACAGAGGGCTTTTCCAACCTAACCCATTCCATGATTCCATGCTCCAAGTCCCAACACAATTGATGTCAGTGCTGTCCAAGGGCTGAGGGTTCCCCCACGCTCCAGTTCCAGGGATGCAGCGCCCTGATCTCATCCCAAACAGCCTCATTATCCCTAACACACCTGGGCATTGCAAAAGCCAACATCCACAGTCATCCTGCAAGATTCCTGATGGGATAATGAGAGCTGCACCATCCCTCGTGTCTGGAGCACCACCCTTTTGGGTGGTCCTGCACTGGGAATGATCCCTGGGAGCAGCGAGATCCACGGAGCTGCACCAGCAAAGAGCTCGGGAATATTTCCTGGTTGTGGACAAGACAAAACCTGGGATTCCTTCTTTTTGGAACCTGCTCCTGTAAAGCTTGAGGGCCCTCAGGGAGATGGATAAATTGGGATCTCTGCTCCAAAGCCATCGTTACGTTCATTCCATCAGCACTGGATGGCAAATCCCATAGGAGCAACTCCATTTCTTGCTGCAGGCAAGGGACAAGTTTTTCCTGGAGAAAATGGGAAACACTTCCAAGGGTGAGCACACAGAATGTGTCCACTCGGCTCATCCTCGTGTCTTCTGCTTCCAGAGTGCTCCCTGTCTCTAGAGCCAAAGGATCTCCCTTCCCAGGACCAAATAAACACACTTTCCCACCTGATGGATTCAGGCTGGAATCACCCAAGTCTAAGGAGAAAGTGGGAAAGAGCTCATCCTCCTCCTGATATCATTCCAGGATGTTCTGTTTTACAGTGGATAATTTTAGCTCCCTTTCTTTTAAGGGAAAGGATGCTGCTTCCCAGGAAAAAGGAACTTTGCAAGCACCCTTCCAGACCCCAGGAGTCACAGAATTCCCTCCCGACACGTCTCCAAAGGAATGTGCTCCCGGACACCCCCACAGCACAAATGTTAACAAATTCCTGGGAACAGGAAAATGGTGTAGGTGGAAGAAAGGCATCTATTGTTTTCCTGATGTCACCACCCCGCAGAGCTGAGGAGTCTGGAGTTTTTGGCAGCAAAGACCTCCAACATTCCCCAAAATCATCTTCTCTCCGTGACGTTGGCACCGGAGTCACCGAGAGGCCAAAGCAGAAGGGGAGCTGTGTCCAACCCATCCCAGCACAGTTCTGCTGGGAGAGGTCATGGATTGCACCTGGATCAGGCAATTCCAAGCACAAATCCAGGCTGGATGGAGAATGAGAAGAGACCAGAGGGGAAGGGTTTGGGGGTGCTGGTGGATGAGAAGAGAAGGCTCCAGGGAGAGCTGAGAGCCCCTGGCAGGGCCTAAAGGGGCTCCAGGAGAGCTGGAGAGGGACTGGGGACAAGGGATGGGGGGACAGGACACAGGGAATGGCTTCCCACTGCCAGATGGGATACTGGGAGGGAATTCCTGGCTGGGAGGGTGGGGAGGCCCTGGCACAGGTTGCCCAGAGAAGCTGTGGCTGCCCCTGGATCCCTGGAAGTGTCCAAGGCCAGGTTGGAGCAACCTGGGCTAGTGGAAGGTGTCCCTGCCCATGGCAGGGGGTGGCACTGGGTGATCCTTAAGGTCCCTTCTAACCCAAACCATCCCAGGATTCCATGATGATGTAACCAATGGCTTTGAAGCAGAAATCACATCCCCTTTGCACGTCCAACAAACCCAAACTCCCAGGGAATTCCCTGCCAACTCAGAGGATCTGAACTGCTCTGCTGAATCCCAGTCCCTGTAGGACATGGAGGATCCCGAGGGGATCAGCTCCAGCCCTGCTCCTGCAAGGACAGCAAAAAGACATTTCATGGAGTCCCAGAAGCAGAAATCCTCCCGGTCTCCGTAAGGGAAGAGCTGGTGGCAGCTCTTCCAACACATCCTGTCAGAATCCAAACCAGCTCCTGACTGCTGTGTGACAAGACTGGAGTCAGATCCTTAACCTGCAGCTCTCCTGCCCTGCAGATCTCCCAGCTCCTCCAACCAAACAGATATCCTCTCTCCTTCCCAGCTGGTTTTCCTGGAGGATCTCCCAGACACGCTCCAGGATCTGCGGAGCAGCCAAGCACTGGGAGGATGAAGGAGCTGGAATCAGGCAGGCAGCCCGAGCTGTCTGGAATTCCACTGATCCAGAGGCTCCTCCACTTCTGTGTCAGCTCTCGGGGGTGCAACTGCTCCAGTCTGGGGGGTCTGCTTTGGAAAACAGCCTGCTTTGGGAAAACTGGGATGAGAAGGGAAGAGAAGCCAAGAGGACTGTCACCTGTCAGTGACAGGCCTGCACATGGAACAAATAACACAGCCTCTCCAGAGCTTGGAATTACTTCAATTTTCCAGGCCTGGATTGTATTTTAAGAGACTTTTCTATTTGGTCTTGGAATTAGTCATGGAAAAAATGGCATTGGAGCAACTCAGGACCGAGGGAGGAGCTGCAGCAACAAGAGGGGCTCCCGTTAACTCCGCTCTCCAAGGATTTGGAAAGGCACAAACCTTCTCTCTTCCAACAGTTTGGCCAAGATTCCTGGAGGTGCCAGCCTGGCACTTGGACCTCCCTCCTCTGGCTCCGAGCAGGCAAGCAGGAGCAGGAGCTATAAATAGGATATCATTCATTTTATTCCCCCTAAATTTGTCAGCGAAGAACAGGATGAATATTCCTTGCCTGTTTGACCGTGGTGCACTCCACAGGATTCCAGCAGGATGTGTCCCCAGGGAGCACTTGTACCTTGGCCTGAGGCAGGGACAGCAAATCCCAGCAAACAGAGCTGGGATTTGCCCAGGCAGTTTCCATCCTGGCAGGATATTTGTCTTCCCAAAACAATCCTCGGGAAGAACACGGACACTGAGGGGCTTCTTCCCTGCCATGGAACAGCAGGTCAGGATCTCCAGATCAGGGAATAACATCCCTAACGCCTCCAGGAGAGCTGGAGAGGGAGCTGGGACAAGGGATGGAGGGACAGGACACAGGGAATGGCTTCCCACTGCCAGAGGGCAGGGTCAGATGGGATATTGGGAAGGAATTCCTGGCTGGGAGGGTGGGGAGGCCCTGGCACAGGTTGCCCAGAGAAGCTGTGGCTGCCCCTGGATCCCTGGAAGTGTCCAAGGCCAGGCTGGAGCAACCTGGGCTGGTGGAAGGTGTCCCTGCCCACAGCAGGGGTGGCACTGGGTGATCCTTCAGGTCCCTTCCAACCCAAACCAGTCTGGGATTGACACCAATACACACTTTAATCCTAAAAAAAACAGTGCTCTCCATCCCAAACCAGTTTTGCCACAGAATTCCCTCAGGTTCCAGCACAGGCTATCCCAAATACACCCTGTGGAAGGTACAACCACTTCCCAAGGTGGATCATCACCCTCAGTCCCTCTTCCCAGCAGGCTCCAGCTGATCCATAGGGATGGAGCAGCCCCCTATATCCATGGGGTGCTCCCTATCCCACATCCTGCCTCCATGACAGGCACAACCCTCTCCAGCTCCTCTCCCTGAAAAGTTTCAGGATGAGTAGGCTGGGAAGCACCTTCCCACTTAATTAAACTTCAGAGTTAATTCTGGAATGACTCAACATTGCTCCCACCCCACAGACTCCTCCGAGTTTGGAATCCTGAGGGATTCCAGCAACTCCTGCCTGGCTCTCCGAGCCCTCCCAGCCAGGGACCCAATCCTGAGGATTCTCCATGGCTATGGATTATTTCTTTTATACAGGAAAGTGGATGTTCCTAAAAGAGAAAGGATTCCAAGAGAAAGGAATCTTCTCCCGTGGGTGGGAGCAGTTTGATCCATAAACCTGCACCAACCCCACCCACAGGCCCTCACAGACTCCCCCACCAGGGCTTGGGGAGGTCCAAGACCCTTTGACACCCCACTGAGGGGGTTTGGGGGGGGTCTCAGCACCACCTCTCCCCACTGCCAAACCCATGGGAAGGGGGGACCCTCAGCTCCCCCTCCTGCCCATCCAAGAGGGTCTCAGCCACCCCCTTATCCCCCACCAAAGGGGCTCCAGGGGACTCCAGCTGCCTCATTCCCTCTGGAAAAGAGGCTGGGGGGGTCCCTCAGTGCTCCCTCAGGGGCTGGGGTCACCCCCCAGGTCCTCCCTGGGGTCTCCCCTTACAGGCTGGGGTCTCCCCTCGGGGGCCTGGGGGTTCCTCAAGTCCGTTCTCAGAGTCTGGGGTCCCCCCCCAGGGGGGCACAGGGGTCCCTCAGCTCCTTCTCAGGGGTCTGGGGGGTCCCTCAAGTGCCCCCTCAGAGGCCAGGGGGTCCCTCAGCTGCCCTTTCTGAGATTGGGGTCCCCCATCTCCCCCACAAGGGCCAGGGGGTCCCTCAGCCCCCATCAGGGGCTGGAAGGATCCCCAGCTCCCTCTCAGGAGCCAGGTGGTCCCTCATCCCTCCCCTCAGGGACCAGGATCCCTCAGCCCCCCCCCGTTCCCCCCCCGTGGCCCGGATCCCCCCCCCAGGGACCGGGGGGTCCCTCACCTCTCCCCCCTCGTGTGTCCCCCCCCACACCTCCCGCACCTTGAGCGTCACATCGCAGAGCTTCCCCTGCCGCCGGATCTCGCCCATGACGCCGTAGCCGCGGCTGGGCAGGTCTCCCACCGAGAAATGCACCAGGTCCTCGGGGTCCAGCTCGGGCTCCGCCGCCGCCGCCGCCTCCAGCATCGTCCCGGCCGCTCCCGCCGCGCTTCGCCCCCGCCGCGCGCTGGCCCCGCCCGGCCGCCGTACCCGCTCCGCTTCCGGGCCGGGCCGGAAGCCGCCGTTGCCATGGAGGACCGGAAGTGAACGCTGCCATGGCGACACCGGACGCCTCCCCGAGCCGGAGCCGGAGCCCAAGCCCGGGCAAGGGGATGAAGAAGGAGTCGCCGCCTCGCTCCGCAAGGGTTAGTCGGTGCTCCTGGCTCCGGGAGCGCGGCCACACGGGCGGCATCAGCCCCCCAGGCATCGCTCTCCCCCTCACAGCATCCCCCCTTCTTTCCCCCCCGGAACGGTTTGGGATGGAAGGGAGCTTAAAGATAATTTTTTCCACCCTGTGCCATGGGCAGGGAGACCTGCCACTATCCCAGGTTGCTCCGACCTGGCCTGGGACACTTCCAGGGATGGGGCAGCCACAGCTTCCCTTGGAAAGTCCCAACCCTTCCAGACGGATTTTGCACAAATTCCTGCCCAAATCTTCTCACCCGAGGTGTGGAAAGGGAACCTTTCACTTCCAAGGCTTTGGAGAGATCCCTCAATCCGTGTTTGGTGCAGCAAAACAGGATCAGTTGATCCGTGTGTGTCTGGGTGTTGTGTTTTTCCCATGGAATGGGGTCTGTGTTTCCCTGGCAGGAGGAAGATCAGCAGGAGGAGGTTGAGCAGCTGGAAAAACAACAAGGTTCTGCCTCCTCCTTCCAACAGGTAATCCCAGCTGGGCACAGAATTCCAGGCTGGTTTGGGCTGGAAAGAACCTAAAGGATCATCTAATTCCAACCCCCTGCCAGGGGCAGGGACATCTTCCACTAGCCCAGGTTGCTCCAACCTGGCCTTGGACATTCCAGGGATGGGGCAGCCACAGCTTCTCTGGGCAATTCCCAACTCCTGGAGATAGATTTTGCCCAAAGTCCTGCCCATCTGAGCAGTGGGAAAAGGAACTTCTCAATTCCAAAGCCTCAGAGAGATGGCTGAATCCATGTTCAGTGTGGCAAAAAGGATCGGTTTTCCCGGGTCTCCAGGTGTGTTTTTCACATGGAATGGGGTCTGTTTTTCCCTGGCAGGAGGAAGAGAAGCAGAAGAAGGTTCAGGGGCCAGAAGAGCGACGAGGTTCTCCCTCCAAAACAAAGACTAATCCAAGGGTAATCCCAGCTGGGCCCACTTGGAATCCTGGAATGGTTTGGGTTGGAAGGGACCTGAAAGCACATCCACTAGCCCAGGTTGCTCCAAGCCCCATCCAACCTGGCCTTGGACACTTCCAGGGGTGGGGCAGCCACAATTTCTCTGGGCAACCTGTTGCTTCCCATCTCCTGGTGTTTATAAACACTCCCAGGAATTGTTGCTTTTATCCTCACATCCAGCAACAGGCATTCTTGCAGCGAGGAAAATTCCCCTCGTTTGGAATTTGTTCTCTCTGATTCATAGGAGAATTCTTCCCTGGGATTTTCCCTTCCTCCTTTTCCCTGCTGTGCTTCTTTCTTTGAAGAAGTAGTTCCTAACTGCTCCAACATTGGGTTTTGGGGTTTTTTTTGGACAGGCTTCTGCAATCTCCAGGAGATCCCAGGCCCAGGAGAAGAAGGAAGAGGAGGAGGAGGAGGAGGAGGAGGAGGAAGAGGAGGAGAAGGAGAACAGCAATTCCTCTCTGTTCTCTAACAGTGACTTTTTCAGGTATCCCCCAAATGTTTTAAATCTAACAAGTCTTGGTTCAGCTCCAACCTCCCCATTTCATTTCAGAGCAGGTAAAATGGTGGAGAGATCCCAAAAATCCTTAATATACAAGAAATTCAAAAGATTTTGTCCCAAACTAGAAGTTATCTCTAATTATTACATAATTATTGAGCACAGGCTGTCTGGAGGAAATAATTGAGGGGAAAATATGGGATCTACACCTTCCAGGGATTCTCAGATATTCAGTTCATGTGTCTCAGGTGGGGCTTTAGCAGCTGGGTGATCCCTGAGCCCTCCTCAGGTGGGTTTTACTTAGCAGATCCTCCAGCCTGGCTGGATATTTGCTCCAGGAAACTGAAGTTTGGGTGCTTTTTAGGAATTTAAAATATTTTAAAAAAAAGAAAATCAAACAAAAGATAATCCCCCTCCTATTCCTGCAAATATTTTCCTTTGCAAGCCTGAGAGGAAGAAAACTTGTGTTATTGAACACTCCTGTGCCTGGTACACAGGAGGAAATCAGGATAATTAAGACCTTCCTCTTTTCAGTTTTCCAAGCAGGACAAGGCTGGAAAGGATTTCCAGCAGCTCTTTCCCCACAGTTGCTTTTAATAAAGAATAAAAACTGCAGCTGAACCTTTACCAACACTTAATTTGTAAATTTGACTGCTCTGGAGTTCTCCTTTTCCTGACAAATGATATAAATGTCATTTTAGGGAATGCAACATCCTTATTTTCCTGGTTTTTCCCTCTCTGTTTAGACCCATAAAGCCAATCCAGGCCTTTGTGCGAGTCAAGCCCACGGCTCATTTTGCCCAGGACATGATCAAGTTTGGGACAGACAACAAGGTAAAGTGAAAGACATTCCCAGTGGGAAAGGTTTGGAGTTTGCTTTCAGCTTTGCCCATGGAAAAGGCAGGATTTTCCCATCCCTTAAGGCCATGGATAACGTTTTGGGGCGTGTTGGTTCCCGTGTTCCTGCCTGACAGTGGTGTTGACTATGGAAAACACACTTCTGGTGGTACAATCACCAGGAAAACCCTCAGAAGGGCAGGGACTGACTGATCCAGGAGGAATTCCCAGTGGGAACCACAGCTTGGCACAGTGTTTCTATCCCCCCTTGTGCAAGTTCCTCCCTTCACCTTCTTGTGCTTTATTCAGAATTTCCCTGAGACACAAAATAATTGAAATTTAAACAGTTGAGCTTAAGCACATTTCTTCTTTATTTAGAATAATTACCCCCCGAAATTCGAGAGTATTACCAGGTATTTTTAGGACATCCATAACCATCCCAGGGAATGAAGTAATCCTGGTGTTTGTGCTCTCTTTCCTACTTAATTCCAGGCCCTCAATCCCTGGAGCTCCTCAGGGCTGTTGAATTGATCTCCCTCTCTTTTTGGGTTGCAGAGCATTGGCATCCACATCGAAAAAGATGCCAGGGGAGGGATTGTGAACAACTCCTCCACTGACTGGTCCTTCAGGATGGATGGGCTCCTCCACAACACCTCCCAGGACAAGGTTTATGAGACTGTGGCCAGGGACTTGGTGGCTGAAGCTTTACGTGGCCACAATGGTGATTTATTGCTGGTTTTGTAATTCTGATAATAAATAGGGGTTTGGTTTGAGGACAGATCCATTGGCTGTGCTGTTTGAGGCTCCCCCCCCGAGTTTATCCTTTTGGTTTGGGATTTTCCAGGCACCATCATGTGTTATGGGCAAACTGGGGCTGGTAAAACTTATACCATGACTGGAGCAACCTCTGTGTACAAGCACCGAGGGATCATCCCCAGAGCTATCCAGCAGGTACTGGATCTGGGAAAAGGGGCTGGGAGGAATACCAGGGACACCTCTTGGATCTGCTCTCGCTGATATAAACGTGTTTTAACACAGTGAATATGATTTATGTCTTTTTTTCCCCTTCATTTCACCTAAGGGATGAGGGCTAAAGAAATGAAGCAGCTTGGCTGTCATTCACAGAGGTTTAGTTCTACCTGCTCGTGGAAAATTCTTGCTGCTCCCCAAAGGTCACCAAGCCTTCAAAAGGGGTGTTTTCCAAGCTACCATTTTGTGATATCCTGTTAAAACTGATCATAAAACCATCAAGGTTGGAAAATACCTCTAAGGCCCTGGCACAGGTTGCCCAGAGAAGCTGTGGCTGCCCCTGGAAGTGTCCAAGGCCAGGTTGGAGCAACCTGGGCTAGTGGAAGGTGTCCCTGCCCATGGCAGGGAGTGGCACTGGGTGATCCTTAAGGTCCTTTCCAGCCTACAGCATTCCTGGATTCTCTGATTCCATAAGATCATTGAATCCAAATCGAAGTCAAGCCCTCAGGCAACCACAGCTCAGATTTAGCTCCACACACCCAAATGTACTTGGAGCTGTTAAGAAATATCTCTATATACATATCTCTACATATCTTAGATAAATGTATAGCTTATATATAGCTTAATGTCTTATATCTATTTCTGTCTTATATCTATTTTAATCACATCTATTTTATATCTGTTTATATCTTACATAAACATCTACATAGAAATATCTTCTCTGGGAAGCCATAAATAGCTAAAAATCCTGTCTGTGAACGGAGACAAACTCTGTGTCATTGTGCAGGTCTTCAAAGCAGCTAAAGAATCCCCCCACCTCTCCTTCACTTTCCAAATTTCCTACCTGGAAGTCTACAACGAGGCCCTGTTTGACCTCCTGGGCCCGGGGCTGGGCCGTGGTTCCAGGAACACCCCCCTGGCTGTCCTGGATTCCCCTCAGGGGGTTTGTGTCAAGGGTCTGTCCATCCATCCTGTCAGCAACGAGATCGAGGCCCTAAAACTCCTTTCTGAGGCAAGAGAACCCAAATATTCCCTTTATTCTCTTTATTATTTTGTTGGCTGAGGGAGGAGGCAGGAAAGCAGGAGGTGTGTGGCCAGGAGGGTTGGTCAACCAGCGCTCTTTGTTCTCTTCATTGTGGGTGGAACATCTTTGCAGCCCTTGTTCTCCCAAGGAAAATGTCCCTGGCACAGGGATTCTGGGAGATGCTCCAAGAAAAGGGTCTTTGGCAGATAGTTTGGGGTGATCATGGTTAGATTTTACAGCAGGACTGTTCACACAATGGGTTGGATTTGTGAGGGGAGTCTGATTGCTTAGATCAGCATCTTTTCCTTGTGGCTCCTTCAGTTCATGAGGAAAACAGGAATAAATGGTTGGATCTGGAAGCAGGAAGTGTGTTCTCACCCAGAGCCATCTAGTGTCCTTAAAACCTTTCTGTGGCCTTTTTAATGACGGGCCCATGGTGTCCTGAGCTCTGGAATGTGCTGGAAATCCCTTTTTAAAGAGCAGAAGGATGCTGATGAGGGCTGGGATTTCTGGGGTTGTTCACC